TTTTTACTTACCATAAGAACTGCCTATTGTTGTGTGAGCGGATCAATATAATCAATAAGTCATACATAGGTTATAGATTATAGGAATAAGGTAAGATAACAAGGATAAGCAACAGTAGGACATAAGTTCATAGATAAGTTCATCAGGAATGTAACTGTGAGACATAGGATATGGAACAGTGAAAGGTGATAAGTCAGTATGCCAATATAGTTATAGATAAATATAGGCTGATAGGTTATTATAGATATAGACAAGGTTAAATCAAACATAGTTGTGAACAATTGTATTAGCTTGATCAGTAGTAAAATGATAAGTAAATGAGATAACTGCAAGGATCAAATAAGTCCCTAGTACTAGGACAGCAGGAACAGAGTCACTGTGGCTATATGAGCATGGCCGTAGGGACTCCATCTTAGTTGTTCTAGACTCTATCCCAGTTTTTCTGCTACTGCTCCTGTGAAGAGGGAACTGCATGACCCATTTCTGAGAAAGAGAAACAAAAGCTGTCTTCTCTTTAAAAATTGTTTTTCTATACTTTGTATCCCACAGAATGTACCCAACTCAGGATATAGTGGTGGTCCTAGTGAGCTACATCCTGGGTCTTAGTACATTTATGGGTCTATATGACTTTAAAATAGATTATCTTCCCTGCTAAGCTGAAACTCAGGATATGGTTGTCTGACACTTGTTCGGACCTAGATGCGATTAAGCTAACTGCTTTTTTTTAGCCACTGTAACTTGCTTGCTTGCATGACGCTGAGAAAAGTCCCTGAGTTGATGTTGTCAAGACACAGGCCAGGAAAGGGCTGGTCTCTACAGGGGGGAGACAGCCCCTGGCCAGGTAAATAAAGCTCTCTTTTGTTTGAATTCAGATTTAGAATGTTTCTGAGGCAGCTCGCCATAACACCTATTATCTATAAACATTTGTACAAGTGTTAAATAAGATGATCTCCAAACTACCTCCTGGAAGAGCCTATTTGTCCACCCAGAAGCACCTATTGATCTACACTTTTGTTCCTTGGCCAGCTTCCCATTCATAACAAAAGACTGTGAATACAGGGGGAACTGGGACTCAGTTACTTCATTAGGCTTCCTGAAAGATTAAAAAATTACATGTTCTACAACACTTAACAACAAACGCACGTTCCTCCATTAGCTCTAATACATTATTCTTCCTTTCTCTAATATAAATCATTATTTGTTACTATCCATTTGCTTTGAATACTAATCTCCCAATCATGTGGATCTGGTTCGATGGTCCCAGGGTCTTTCCTGAAACCCTTTCCTTGACAGGTACCCCATAGGACATCAGCCAATGTTCCATAAATGCCCCCTAAAACTGTCACACACCAAGTTTCCTCAACATACTTGGACAAAGGCCATACAGTCTTGGTGATTTATTTGTATCTAGTGTGCTGATTAGGTCTGGAGTACCCTAAGCACTTCTTGATATATTATCTCCAGTGTGTGTACTGCTTGAGAAAGCCTTACTACAGGAATATTACTCAGCAAAAATAGAAGCAAAGAATTCATTTATACTCTATTTTATCACTTCTTATCTCTGAGTGTGTGTTAGGTGTGATGAAAGCCAACTGCTTCCACAATCCTGATTTCCCAGTATTTGTCTTTCACTATTGTTTTAGAAATATATTGTAAAGATTCATCTTTGGCTACTTCATGTCTAGTGTGCACAGGATCTATCACCTTTTATGGGCTCAATTTAGTAACATAACCCTTCAAATATTTTTCTTTCCTGTATTTTTCCCCCTATTTAATGTTTTAAAGAACTTGAGTACAAGGCCTTCATTTTTCTTATCATAGGTGGTTTCCCATAAGAGAATTTATATAATCCCAATTTCTAATGAGCAATTCGGCTTTTTAAGTATTTCTTTCCAGCCCTCTTCCCTGCTCCAAGTGTCAGCACTGAATTCCCTTTTAGGGAATGATTAGGCACTTGATGTCTTTCTTTGGAGTCCTCTCTATCCATTAGAACACTGAACTAAATTAAATTGAAATGTATATCATTCAACACTATATGCTCCAATCTGTGTTATATCTGTTATGTACTCAGTGAATACTTCATGAATGAATGTGATATCAACAACTAAAAATCATGGTCCACTTATAAGGTGTTATGTCCCATGCTAAGCACGCATTACATCATCAGATCTCGAGTGTATGTAAACTCGTGTAACCCCAGCATATAGAACAGAGCAGTACAAACTAGGAAATCACTAAATATTTGTTGCATAAGTAAACTGAACAATTGCATAAGGTAGGTGCATTATTCGTGTGCTACACGTAAGAAACTGAAAACACAGAGGTTCATTTTCTGAAGTTCCATAGCATGTTTTAAGCCATAACTTGAAACCAAAGCCCAAATACTTAACCAAGACATTACTAGTAAATTCAACACCTACCCACATTAATGCAAACAAAATTAACACCATTCATCTTAATAAATATTATGCAATGCCACAAATAAATAATGTGAGCAATAATTTTCCAAGAAAAGATTCGCAATTTCTGGGCTTTTATAAATAATCAGATAGGCAGATATCTCTAAGTTTCTAATTGCTACCTATGCAAGTGAAAATATGATTTCTCTTTAACCAATGTCTTCTCCTACATTTGTATACTAGTTAAGGATTCCAGGACTTTTTCTTTAGAGGTTTAAGCCTCTAAATAGCCCTAATGAAATAATCATTTAAGACTTCATTGTTAATTGTCTATAGAATTTATGAGGAATTTCTGCTTATAAAGTAGAAAATTTACATATTTCTGGAACATTCTTGCCACGATTGGTCACTTGATTTTCCTGAAACCCTACCACTAGGACATCCTACTTCAGAGTTATGATGACTTGTATCTTTAACAACTTACTAATAAAAATAATAAAATGAAAGGGTGGTTCCTTAAAATCATTATTAACTCTCTCTTTAAATCTTTATCAGCCCACAACTTAGTGGGAGCTAAGTGATATTTAGCAGACAGCAGAGCCTTTCAGGGGTGGTACATTATGGTCCCTGAAGCTGTGGATTGAATAGTAAAATGAGATGTAGAATTAGAAGTGGGCAAACACCAAAGATGTCACCCAGCATTAAGGAAAAAAAAGGAGGGAAGGGGAGAAGGAATAAGGAAGACGGGAGGGAAGGATTTAGGGGCAACTTGGATTTGAACTCTGCCATTCACCTTGGAAAACTCAACCTCTGAGAACCTCAGTTGTTCCATCTGTAAAATGGGGGTGATGTAAACTGTACAGTATAATACAATACATGGTATGGTGTTTTACTTGGCATTACTTGCCTAGAATCAGTCCAATTTATGCATTCTCTGCTATAAACATTCACCTTACAAAGACAATCGACAAATTCAAAAAATAGCCCCATGAACTGTGTCTACCTTTTTTGGTCTGGAAGCATTTCTGATATTTTTAACCCAAGAAACCAATGTTCAATTTTCAGCAGGTTTTATGTATCTATGAGCTCAAAAAGCTTACTGTTTGCTCTCAAGACTAGAGTGCAGTAAACCTCTGTTTCAACAAGGAAGGCTCTTTTAAGTCTTGTTTCATTCTGGTGGCTTTGGTTGAGGTGGAAACTAAAATTGAAAACAGATAGATGTTTTACATTTAAATGGGTTTAACATAAATGTGCATTAAGCCATTTCATGGACGATTGCACAAATATCTTTTGCAAACTTGGTACACGTGAGCACATATACAGTAACCATTCATGTCTTCCAGAGAAATAAGGTGCAGATGTGAAATTTTAAACAGCTACTTGGAGTTCCTTTCACTGGAAAGAAAATGTAATGGCTTTAAGGGAATTGCTCTAATAATATCATGGCATCTGCAATGGCTGGCCAGAGCAGAGCAGAACAGAGTGTATGTCACTGCAAGTCAATTTAACAAGAAATAAGCTTCCCCCTAGAGAATCTAAACTCCCTTGCCTCCCACAAAGAAAATTGAATTTTGGAGGTCACACCTTGGGTAGGTTACCAAAGGGAGAAGCTTAACATTGTTTTTGTCATGTGCTCTGGGAGGTCAATGCTGTTCCACCAACAAGTCACTATCAAAGATCTATTTCCACCTCCCCAATGCCCTGAAATTAAAACAAGTCTCTGGAGTACATTAGGATGGCAAGTGATTGTGACACTAAACATACCTGGGACCACGCAAGATACAATCGTGTCCAAATATCAAGTTTGAATCACGCAGTAAAGAGTAGGTGCTATGGGGGTTAAGGGTCTGGAGGGGTTGCTGGCAGAAGTGGTGAGACTGCAGTGGGGGGTCAGAATGAGTTAGATGGAAAATAGAGAGTTTTATGTTGAAATTGATGGCTTGGTCAAATATGAATCAACCGAACTGCTGTTACCAAGAGAAAACCGATCACCAAGTGAAGCCCAGACGAAGTCCCTACTTTAGGTGGACAGTCTCCGCCCAGGATCCTAGGAGTGGGTTGTCCAAGGGCCTAGCACCCTTTCACAGCAACTGGGAGGTGGCCCAGCACAGTGCACCTCCTCGCAGCCGGCTTCTCTCCAACCCACTAACACCACCCCCCGCAGCAACATGTGGGGTGCTGCCACTCCGCTAGCTACCGGGGAACTCTCTCCAGCTGGAGTTCCTGGTGTATGCACGCTTGGCCCCGAGAAGGTACTGAATTACTCCTGGAGAAGATTCCTCCAGCCTTGAACTTGGCAGCTCCTGACGTTTCTATCCCACCCCACCGCGCTCCAGCACAAAACACAGGCACACACACGCCCCTCTAGACACACGCGCAGCGCTTTCTGCCCACTCCGAAGGAAAGCATGAGAGCTGGGTGTAGAGGCCGTCACCACAGCTCCGCTGGCCTTGGGGCGGGGGTGAAGGCTGTCCTAGCGCTAGGTAGTTCCAGCGACTGAGCCCACTCCCAGGCTTGGCCCAGGCCAGGCATCAGCTGGGGACCCGCTACCACCAAAAGCGTATCCTTTTGTGCTCCTCGGGGAAGCCCGTCTCTACTCACCCGGGCTGCGCGCGGATTCCGGGCGCCAGCGGCAGCCAGCTGCCCCATCCCACGAACACTGCGGCGCCCCCAGAGAGTGCAATGCGGAGCCCCGCCAGCGCGCGGCCGGAGCCCGGGAGCGCAGGGAGGGAGCGAGGGAGGGAGGGAGGGAGGGAGGAGGGAAGGAGAGATCGCGGCGGGGAGGGACAGGGGGCGGGGGCCGACGGGGGGCGCGCGTGCCACTCCCACTCGCGCCCTGCACTCGCGGGCGCCCGCTGCTGCGGCCGGCCAGCCCGGCCTCTCGGGTCGTGGAGCCAATCAGTGCGCGCAGGAGGAGCCGAGCCCTCCGCGGTGCGCGCTCATTGGTCTGGCGCGCGCGACCCAACTCTGGGAGAGTCAGCCTAAGCGCCAAGTCTGTAAACTCCCCGCCAGCAGGAGACCTCGGTCCCGCGCAGGTGGGGCGCCCCGGCGCCGCTCTCTGGCAGACTGGGTGAACGGAAAAGGTGGGGGATTTGGGACCTGCCCGGGAAGCCTGTTCACAGTGAGCGTCCAGAGCAAGCAGTGTTTGCTCAGGTTGCAGATTCCTTCCTGTGCGCGACACCCGCTCCCCAGTGCCTCTCCCTGAGCCGCCCAACTCACCCTGCCCAGCAGCTGCGGGTCGGGAAGCCTGGCAAAACCGAAGGGACCAAGCCAAATCTCACGCTCTACCCTTCCCCTTCGAGACACCCGCTGAACTTGAGCTGGAACTGTAGAGCAAGTGGAGTTCCAAACGCCAGGGCGTGCAGAAGCTGCTTGACATTTACAGTTGAGGACCCAGACTGAGGGACAGTGGATACAGGGATGGGGAGGCAGATGTTTGTTTGAAAATGGGAATTTAATTATGGTTTTTGGTGGGAATCGCCCAGGGAATAATTCTCCTGCGTTCTGCCAAACCCTTTCCCCAAGTAACGCCCCCAACCCAGCCCACCCTTCTCAGGATACTGATTTTTCTCTTCCTTGTAAATCATGTTTGATGCTCTTGGAGTTTTCAGTTGGGAGCCTTGAAGTTCAAGCAGAATTCATCTCTGTCTTCGTCCATCTGAGCTAAGCCAGAAGCTGATGGGGAGCTGGGGTGACAAGGGAGGGTCTCCCAGGAAATCTGAAGGAAGGACTCCGCGGGGGAGCTCGGGACTAGCCGCCCACACCCCTTAGCCTGGTAACTGCCTTGCTAGGCTACCTTAGCTATGCCCGCCATAATGGCTACGTGGGTCTTAGAGGTCTCCCCCCAACCCCCACCCCTCTTCGCCAGGCCTCTTTGAATCTCCCTGCCTCTCCTCTTCAATCTATTATAATCTATTTCAACATCAAAACATCCTTTATTTTCCCCCCCTAAAGCATCCTTTTATTTGGAAGGGGTTAGGATAAGGTATTTTGAATCAACAGCTCCTCCCAGTTAGTTTATGCGCACAAATTTACACAAGCTCAGGGTTCAAGTGAACAAAAATAATTAGCACTCCTTTAGGACCTTTGGACAAACAAGATGGAGATGCTCCGGTGTTTGTCTTCCTACAGGGCTCAGCACTTTTAATAGATTAAATATGAATTAATCAAACTGACCCTGGCTGTGTCCCCCAGTAACTGGGTAGATAACCTCTGCAGGTTAGTATCTGTTACTAATGAGGGCATGTCCAGGGTGTCATGGCTGCCACTCATTTAGCTTCCTTTCCAGGGAAGAAATTGCCTTCTTCAGTTCTCCACCACGAACCTACTTCATTTGATTTTTTTAAAAAAAGAATGATTTCGTGCATAGTTTAGTTAAAACTTAATATTTGAATTCAAAATGAAGTTCAGCATATTAAGGCAGTTCACAAGACCATAGTGCCGGGTAGAAATGGAATCCTTAGAGTCTCTCTCTCTCTCTCTCTCTCTCTCTCTCTCTCCAAAAATGTATTTTAAAAAGATAGAATGATATGCATATCAACAGTGGTTACTCTGTGTGTTGGGATAATGAGTAGCATCCTGTTTTCTTCCTTATATTTTGTTGAATTTTCTAAAGAACATGTAATACCATAAACAATGTTAACTACCATAGAGTATTCCTCAGGCATCATCAGTAAAGCAAAGGTGTTAAGTCATCCTTCTACTTTACCCTTCATACCTTATCAATCACTAAGTCCCATAATTCTATCTTCTGGAATAGCTTTCAGGTCTATCCCTCAACATCTCTGTTGCCTTATCCTGTGTTATCAGAGCTGTAGCAACAGCTACATTCTTCTCTCCATACTGCCATCTCTATTTGAGAATTGCTAATGTGATCACATCATTAAAATCTGTCAGTCCCCCAAATAATGAAGTTGAAACCGAAGGCCTTTCCTTCCTGGTCTGAGTTCAGCCTTCCCTGTGGGCCTCATCCTGCCCCTATCCTCATAGGCAACTTTTGCCAGGGAAGTGGACCTTCACAGTCTGTGTCTAAGACCTCCCAGTGCTGGAATGTTGTCTTCTCTTCTCCCTCAACTCTCCCCTCCCCTCAATGGCAAGTTCCTACTTCAGCTTCAAGATTCACTTCAAATGTCACCATTATAATGAAGTCTTCAAAACTGCCAGGGGTCGAATTATCAGTTCCTGGGGCTGTACTTCAATAGCAGGCACTATATCTATTCAATGACTGTTAATCCAGCTTCTTCTGTGTGCCAGGCACAATGATGAAAACATACATTGTATTTGTTCTCCTGGAGTGCACCATGAGAGAGACAGACATTAAATCAAGTAGTCATGCAAAGAAAAAAAATTTCAAACTGAGATAAGTGTCATAGAACTATTATATGTACAAAAAGAAGCAGAGTTTACTTTGAACATATGTCAATCATAATTCTTACTGAATTGTTATGATCTTTTGATTTATTTATTGAAAGTTTTGTCTCCCATCATATTCATCTATGTATTCTCGTATAGAACATAGTACTAGGCTCATAGTAGGCACTCTGTAAAAATTTTATAGTAAATACATGGGTGAATAAATGAATGGGTATTTCAAACCCCCACAAAGCATAAGGGTTTCATGTGTTTACATGTTTCTATTGAACAAGAACCAAAAAAAATTATTTCTCTGTTGTAAAAGTTATAATCATTACATATTTGTTTCATTGTTCTTAACTCTATTTTGGTTCTTCCTGCAAAAATTATCTAATATCTTTCTACTTGATTTCACATTTAGGAGATAAAGCTAATGTACTATGTGTAGATAATCTGTTATTGGTAGGAGGAATTTATTGTTTTTTTAAAGCAACTTTTAACATTTAAAATTCCAGGACTGATAATTTTAATACACAAAGTAAAAATCACAACCTGCAAGAAAAAATAAATAAAATTAGGCTTCGTCAAAATTAAACTATTTTCTCTGCAAATAACAGTGGTAAGAAAAAGAAAAGACAGGCACAGACTGGGAGAGAATATTTGTAAATCATATATCTGGCATAGGACTTGTAGCTAATATATTCAGAGAACTCTCTTATTGTTAAGGCAATAAGAAAACAACAAAAAATTTTAACTGGGCAAAAGAATTGAACAGACACTTCTCCATAAAAGATACAGAGGTGATAAATAGCACACAAAATGATGATGCTCAGTATCTTTAGTCATTAGTGAAACGCTAATTAAAACTACCATGAGACACTACTATACAATTGTTACTATAGGAAAAAATAATAATAAATAAAAATAATAATAAAACAACAGTGATATCAAGTGCTATTGAGGATAAAGAGCAACTAAAATTTTTTTACATTGCTGGTAGGGACACAAAATGGTATGGCCATGATAAAAATTGTTTTGTAGCTTTTATAAAGTTCAATATACACCTAATCATATAATGTATTAATCTCACTCCTAGATATTTACCCAAGTGAAATGAAAAGCTTATGTTCACACAGAAAGCTATAAACAAATTCTTATAACAATTTTACCAAAGGCTTGAAACAACCTGAAACTTCCTTAGCTGGGGAATAAACAAAGTGTAGTGCATCCATAGAATGGAATACTGTTCAATAATAAAAAGGGTACACTGTCGATCCAAACAACAGTCTACATCTCAACACATTATAACAAGTGAAAGAAAGAGATTCAAAAGCTTAAATATATACAAAGATTAAGAATGGCAGAGCAAAAAGACAAAGAACTTGAAGTTTTTCATGATAATCGAGTCATTCTTTCAGGTCTGAAAGATCTCTATTTCCATGAGACAATTGTTAAACCTTGTTATTTCAAGTTTTCTGGCACACAGGGCTAAACCTCATTTTACCTAACATATGAATGCATAAGTTAATTAATGAAAATTCCACTCAGTGTAGGCTTGTCTTATTCACTGAAATATCACCAGTGCTCCTCCTATGATGCTGGTCCACAGAGTGGATACTCAATAAATATCAGTTAAATGCATGAACAGATAAGAATGAAGATAAAGTTAGGATTTTGCAGGAATGTAACAAAATTTTATATTCGGATCAGTGTGTTCCCCTTCAAAGTAGTGACTTCGGCACATTACATTTTTCATTCCAATAACATTGCTTCCATCTCATAATGTATTCCCTCTCCCCCTTCTGCTTATTAAAAATATTATCCTTTCTTTAGGTAAAATTGCTTCTTTTAAATAAATTATTTGCTTGCTTGCTCTCCCTCAATGATCAAACAATAAATTTAACATGTCTTAACATTTTACTCATTTTTCAATATTTTAAGTAGCATCTAATTTATCTTCTTTATCTCTAATAAATACAAGAAGTTTATATAACATACACAGAGTAAAAATAAAAATTCAGATTTTATGCAAAGCTTGAGAGATTTGGGCTCAAAAAAAATCATATTTCCAGATGTATCACTTAAAGTAATTTTCATTTATTGGACACTGATGGTTGACATTAGCTCTTGAAATATCATTAAAATATTTCTGCTCTAACCAGTTTGCACAGTCAAGTGACTTTTAAAAAATCATTTATGGCTAAGCTGCTGTTATGGAATTCATTATAAGAACTCAATTTTCTCTACCAGTTTTTCTGCTAGAAAACAGTACCCCTGACTGCCAGCAAAGACCCCTCAG